AAGATCCTGAATCTGGGCCGGTTTTAGGCAGAGATGCAGAAAAGGAGTTCAATCTCGATTTTCTGCACTTGTCCACAAACGCGGCCAAATTAAGGCGTTCAATCCAATCCTCTTTGCTAGTGGGACCTCGCCCCCGATGTATGCCTGTCATACCACTTTTCCCCTTCTTCTCAGTTATTCCTTTTTTTTTCCCCTTCTCTGTTATTCCAAGTTTTTTTTTCCCTTTTTAATTTTTTTTTTCTTTCGCTTTTTTTTTTTTTTTTTTTTTTTTTGTTTTGTTTTTTGGTTTTTTGTTTTTCACTTTTTCACTACACTATGTTCTTCTCTCAAATTCTTTTTGCCTCTCACTACCTTCCTACCACTACTCCTGAGACTATATAGAGGGGACCCTGTTTTTTCTCAAAACCTTTTTTTTTTTTTTTTTTTTTTTTTGGGGCCCCCAGTGCCCAAGGCCGAAGAAAACATGACATCAAAGTCGCAGATTCAGGGGCCTCAACGCCTCAACTCCTGCTTCATCGGGTGGAGCCCTTCCCCTGTAAAGCTGATCGATTAGCTACGACAGAACAAACTGCAGCAGATCAACACCAGCTATACTCTATATTATATAATATTATATAATTTCTAGTTCTTTATGCGTCGCCCAGTTCAATTCGTCTATCATCTTATCCGTCCAATTTTTTTTATTTTTTTAAATCCATAAATTAAGGCTGACCAGTAGCTACAACAGAACAAACTGCAGCAGATCAACACCTATTTTTATTTTTCTATCCATAAATTAATCCTGACCACTAGCTCAACAGAACAAACTGCAGCAGATCAACACCAGCTATACTCTATATTATATAATATTATATAATTTCTAGTTCTTTATGCGTCGCCCAGTTCCGTGAGTCTATCCTCTTATCCATCCTTTTATTTTCTTTTCTTTTTTATTATTATTTATTTTTATCCATAAATTTTTGTACTTCTTTTTTAGTTCGGACCCTTTCCCGATTTATGTGTGTCATCATCCTTGAAAGCGCAGGGGCCATGCTAATCTTCTTTCTCTGTATCATTTCAATTTTAACGGATGTGCGAGGTCCTAATTGTCAGTCGTTTTACGCTTTGCATCCGTGATTTGTGAAAGCTATGTGTCCAAAAAAACGGAAGCTGCGAAGAAAAAAAAGGAAAAAGAAAAGGGAAAAAGAAAAGGGAAAAAAAAGGAAGGGAGGGGGGGAAGAAGGGAAAAAAAGAAGGGAAAAAAAGAAGGGAAAAAAGAAGGGAAAAAAAGAATGGAAAACAAGAAGGGAAAAAAAGAGAAAAAAGGCAAAAAAAGGGGGGGGGAAGGGAAAAAAGGAAAAAAAAACAATAAACGGAAAGCTGCCGTCCGACTTCGGATGGGACTGGGCGCATTAGCCATGGAGCTGCATTAGGGTCGCCTTGCTGCATTACTCTCCACATGCACGAAAGAGAAAAAAAAGATGGCCATGTATCTTTCCATGTTCTAGCGGTGGATTCAGTCTCATTTTGCACATTTGGAGACTAGTGCAGCGAGGCCCTCAGCCAGCGTGAAGTCCTTCGGCGCAATCAAATCCTGTTGTACCTGTTCTGTTGTTGTGCATTCGACAGCTGCTGCTGCTCAGGGACACGCCACGGCTGATTGCTGCAGTCCTTTCTTTCTTTCTTTCTTTCTTTCTTTCTTTCTTTCTTTCTTTTTCTTCTTTTTTTTTTGCTGCAGGTGTTCTACCTGCCGGCGTCCTAGCTGTACTACTCCACGCCAATGCATTCTTTTTTTCTTCTTCAATTGGGACCGTTCTCGATCTATGCGCGTCGTCCTTGCCCAGGGGCCATTCGCTTATTTACCCTTCTCTGTATCGTTCCAATTATATATATATATATATATCGTCACAAACAGAACTGCCCGGTAAACCGTAGGCAGAGAGAGAGAAGAGGACAACAAACGAGGGGCTGTGACATATATATATATATAGCCTCCTGATGAGTCGGTGAAACTCCGACGAAACAGTTTGTCACAGCCCCTCGTTTGTTGTCCTCTTCTCCCTCTCTGCCTACGGTTTACCGGGCAGTTCTATATCGTCAAAT